TCCATGAAGACTCCCAGCAAACTCCGACTCGTGACAAGGCCATGACCCCCGGGGCCCAAGTGGGCACGGAGGAGGTGGCGATGGTGGCCAAATCGGGACCTATGGCATCCCCAGTTCGGGCTTCCCAGACAAGCAAGAGGGCGGCGGCTTCCAAGGCTTACAAGATGATAGACAAGGCTATGGCGCTCAAAGCCAATAAATCTATGCAAGGTATAGCTTCCAAACTGATCACTTGCTCAATGTCATCATTTAAGGTTTTAGCTCTTGCATCGGATGCGCACCTTCTTTGGGTCGCAAAGGAGTGCAATGTGATCTTAGGATCAGAGGATCGGTCCCCCATAGAGGTCTTGGTTTGTTTTCGGGCTCAAGAAGAGGCCCAAGCCAAGATAGCGAAGGCCATTGCGTGCAAGGACCTGGAAGAATGCGTGTGACCGAGGCGACCGCACCTGACCTTGTCACTGGTGCCAAGGAGAAGGCACCACTGCCAGGTCATGCGGTCTCGTGTCGCGGAGGTGGGAAGGGTCGGGGCCGTGGTCGTGGCCGGGGAAGAGGCAGGGGCACGGTCGCCCAGATTTCCCAAATAATAGAGGGGGAGGGTGCTCGGTCCCCCATCGGTGATCAATGAGGGGTATTATTTAGAATCTTAGAGGGTTTGGTTGCTGGGATAGAAGAAGACAGTTGATCCAATTTATTCGCGACCAACACCTAGACTTCGTGGGGCTCCAGGAAACAATTCATGCATCCTTCCTGCAACATGAGCTTGATTCCTTAGCAGGTACTCTCCCGTTTCATTGGGAATGGGTCCCAACAAACGGTAGATCGGGAGGACTTTTAGTTGGGGTGAATAAAAACACATTCGATGTACTGGCTTTCTCTAGGGGGGAGTTTTTCTTCATAGTAGAGGTGCTCCAGTTGGATAATAATTGTAGGTGGGAATTGGTGGTGGTGTATGGGCCAGCCGACCACGCTAGGTCTCATGACTTCTTGAGAGAATTGTACCTTAAAATCTCAAGTGCTACAGGCCCAATGGTCATCGGGAGGGGGGATTTTAATTTAATTCGGTGTGCAGAGGATAAAAGCAACCAGATCATTAGCGATAGAGGTTTGATGGAGTTATTCAATGAATGGGTGGCAGAACTAGCTCTTATCAAACTCCAACGTGTGGGGGCTAGATATACATGGACCAACAATCAGGACAACCCGGTCTGAAGTGTGCTTGACCGCATGTTTGTGTCCATGGACTGGGAGGCAATGCTCCGTGCAAGCTGTCTCACGGTGGAGACCCGGTTGGGATTGGATCATTGCCCCCTCATCCCGCAATCGAGCGAGAATTGCCGAAGACCACCTAAGCGATTCTTCTTTGAGAAACAGTGGTTATACCAACCGGGATTCGTGGAGATGATCAAACGGATTTGGGGAGCTGCCAGGACAAACCGTCCTCATCGATATGGTTCATTATGTGATGCCTTGGATGAGTGGCAACACTGTATTCGCCGAGCTCGACACCACATGAGTGGGTGGGGAGCCAACATTGGGAGTGATCTTGTTCGGCATAAGGTGGCCATATTACAAGAAATTAAATAATTAGACCAGCAAGCCAACTCTGTTGGTTTATCACATGACGAGTGGGCTCACCAGTATGCGGTGGAGGAGGAGATGATTTTCGTATTAACATGTGAGGAGATGTACTGGCAACAGAGGGGGCAACAGACATGGGTCCTAAAAGGAGACGCTTGCACAAAATTCTTCCACGCGGTGGCCAATGGCCGCCGACATAGATGCACGATTAGAGCCCTTTCGGATGAGGATAATTTATACGTGGGGGAGGAAGAGCTTAGAGCCCATATTGATAGCTTCTACAAGCAATTGCTAGGGACAACCTCAGGAGGGGCAGCTTCCCTTGGGACAGACATGTGGGAATCCCAATGGAAGGTCTCGAGGGAGGATAACCTGGCATTAATTCTCCCCTTTACTTTACTTGAGGTGTCCACTCACCTAAATAACATGAGGGTGAACACAGCATCGGGGCCCGATGGGTTGCCGGTAATCTTTTACAAAAAATTCTAGGATTTGGTGGGCCCCAGTTCCTCAATTTGGTGCATGAATTCACCCTCGGTAGAATCAACGTAAAGCGTCTTAACTATGGGGTTCTAGCACTACTCTCGAAGACAACATTAGACAATTTCATCCAATTACTTTCAATGTTAGTTTCCTACTCTTGGCCAAGGGCTTTGCGACTCGCTTGGCGCCAGTGGCTAACAAAATCATTGACCGAAACCAAACAACTTTTATTAGAGGGAGAAGCATACTAGATGGGGTGGCTGTCCTACATGAAGTGCTGCACGAAATTAATAACACTAAGCAAGAGGTGTTCATCTTGAATATTGACTTCGAGAAAGCCTATGATCGTGTGAGGTGGGAATTCCTAGAAGAGGTGCTTAGGGTGAAAGGCTTTGATCCACTATGGACTAGCTAGATGTGGCAACTGGTACAAGGGGCCAGACGGCAGTTAATATCAATGGTGAGATAGGAGCATTTTTTTAGAAATAAGAGAGGTGTCAGACAAGGGGATCCTATATCCCCACTCCTCTTTAACATCCTAGCTAATGCTTTGGCTGCTATTCTCGATTGCGCCAAGGCGGCGGGTCACATATCTGGGGTGGCCCAGGGCATTATCCCAGGAGGAATATCGCATCTCCAATATGCTGACAACACTCTAATCTTTATTAAAAATTCCGAGAGGGAAATTACGAACCTCAAATTTCTCCTCGTGTGCTTTGACGAGATGTCTGGCCTAAAAATCAACTTTGCAAAGAGTGAGGTGATTGTCACGGGAGGTGACCTTGAATCCCAACTTAGGGCAGCCCATATGATGAATTGCGAATTGGGATCCATCCCAATAAAATACCTCGGAATGCCCATCTCATCTAGGGCGATAACCATGGGGGAGCTACAACCGGTGGTGGACAAAACTACGGCTAGGATTGAACCTTGGCAAGGTAAATTACTGGCCTAGGGAGGACGACTGGTTCTCATAAACGATTGTCTTACAAATATCCTGATGTTCGTAATGAGTTTTTATCTCCTTCAAGATAGGATTCATGACAAGCTTAATAAGACCCAGTCCTGGTTCTTTTGGGCGAAGGAGAACGGGAAGCAGAGATACCATATGGTGAGTTGGGATAAGATCTGCCATCCTAAAGAGGTTGGCAGCTTGGGGTGATCAACACCAAAGTTATGAATTGGTGTCTTATGACAAAGTGGGCCTGGAAGATTTTAAGGGGCCAGGGAGGCCTTTGGCTTGACATATTCAAGTCCAAATACTTGGTCCAAGGAGGGGTGGAGTTCAGGCGGAATACCAAATTATCTCAATTTGCGAGGGATATTAGGAAGATACAACCGTTACTTAGTCTCGGGACTAGATTTACAATCCACAACGGTAAAGCCATGTGTTTCTGGACAGATATGTGGTGTAGGGAGGACCGGCTATCCCTCGCATTTCCATGGTTATTTGCCATCACCTCAGACCAATCTGCCAAGGTGGCGGAAATATGGCGGCATGGTCAATGGGCACCTCAGTTCCGCCGTCCTTTCAGAAAAATTGATAGCACGGAATGGGAGGCCATGCATCTCTGTCTGCAATGTCATTCATTGGGACATGGTAATGACGAGGTCATCTGGCGCCTGGAGCCATCGGGGCGCTTCTCCACCAGATCCCTATATAGGGAGATATTCAAGTCTATGACACCATGTGACATGTCCGGGATATGGAATGCGCGCATCCCGACAAAAATTAAGATTTTCCTATGGCAAGTGGCCCGTAACCGAATTGCATTTGGGGATCAAATGCAAAAACGAAGAGGCCCGGGTGATGACAAATGCATTTGGTGTGGGGAAAACGAAGACCGTGACCATATCATATTTCGGTGCAGCATAGCACAATTCGTGTGGAGCTCGTTGAGGGCGGTATCATGATCCACATGGAATTCGAGTGGGTTTTCACATTTCTACCGGTTGGCCAGGGCCACCTCCGGGCGTGATAGACGAATCGCCTGGGTGGGTTATGGGGCACTGGCGTGGGCTTTGTAGACCACAAGAAACAAGGATTTGATAAAAGGAGTATACATCAAACACCCGGCTGATCTATCATACAAACTGGTGTCTTTCTTGTAGCTCTGGAAACCTCTGTCAAGGGCACAAGACAGAAGGCACGTGGAGGGGCTCGCAGCAAAGGTGTGAGCAAAGTGTACTGAGTTTCGTTGAGCAACACAAGGGGCACCTACGGCATGACACTTGACTATGCTACCTTGAGAGCCCGATGTTTCCCCTTTTTGACTGGGCGCTGCGTCGCTTATCTTCGCCTTCGGGCTTGTATCGCTTGTACTTGCTATTCCGTACTTCGTTCTACTTATTTGGTCTGGAACTCGTGCCAGATCTGTAAGGGCCTTAGTCTAAGACCGGGCAAGCACCTCTTTTCGAACAAAAATGTGTTAGTGGACGTATAAGGTTGAAATTATTTCAGTCTGGTTGTAGAATGCTCTTAGCCCAAGTCGAGACGAAGATGAGCTAGGTAAATGATATGCACCCCTAAAAAAGAGTAAGTGATATGCCCCTCCGGACACACGAACGACATGCACACGAGATACTAAACTCACCACCGACAAGATTATTATGAATGCACTCCAGAGTCTGTACCTGGAAATAGCTAGCTAATCCCCCACAACCCGCACCCGAATCTGCTAGAACTATTTTTTTCAACCCCAGTCCCAAATATTCTATCCTATTTAGCACTCCCCTTCTTCCTCCTCGTCTATCTCATCTCATCTCCCCCACCAAACCACAACATACCACACCAGAAGTCTTGCTATGAACTCGATATTGATGCAATGAAACCGCTGATAGAGGTCTAGCTAGCCGCTGGAAGATTCGGATCAGTTTTCCATAGGGGCCGGAAAAACCGATTGAGCTAGTTTAATTAAGAAGGTTCAACACAGACAAGAATGGTCCATCTTTTGCAATGCAGTGGCAGTACCCATATGTCGTTGCCTCTGTTCTTCCTCTCAGTCCTCCACCTCCTCCCCTCCATGGAGTCAGCACATTCAGATGCTGGTAAGACCTCTAGTGCTCATCTCAATGTTTCTAGTTTGAAACAGTCATTCCACATTTCCATGGTAGTTTCTTACTCAACTATACTTTCTCAATTTCTATCACAGGGAGGTTGCCACTGAGGTTACTAGAGATTGGCAGCAGTAAGGTACAAATAATCAACAAGTTGTTGCTATTGTCTGATGGACCTTTGCTTGTGCTACAGTGCTAATTAAGCATTGTTTATTAATGTCATAGGAGGAGAAAGGGGGACACAGAGGGGAGATGATGAAGATGGAACGGAGGGGCCTGATCGGATCAAGGCCACCAAGGTGTGAGAGTGTGTGCATGTCTTGTGGCCACTGCAAGGCAGTGCAGGTGCCCATAGTGCCACAGGATCACAAGCAGAGAGCTGGCCGAGAACACCATGATGCGGCGAGTGACATCGATGCAGCGATGCTCGCTGCCTACAAGGGCAATGGTGGCATCTCGGACTACAAACCTCTGAGATGGAAGTGTAGGTGTGGAAGCATAATACTTGATCCATGAAGTATTCAACACTCTAAAGTTCTCAACTCAACAATCAGGATCACTTCAATTGTGAAAATATGTATAGAGTTGTCCTAAATTGTTTTCCCACCTTTTTATTCTTCTTCTTCTTCCCCTTTTCAATTTTCCTCCAGACCAGAGGTTCAAGGGAGGGAGAATGAGCTGCAAATTTCTTGTACATTTAGGAAGCAGTTTTGTCCACAAAATATAATTAGTGAACTATTTAGTACTATGCATTTATTTCAATTTGGCCATGGGCTCTAGTTGCGCTAGGGACAAACATCTGATCTGCTGAATATTGTATAAGACAGCATCAGGTACTACATCAATGTTAGGTGGGCCACTTATCACTGCCACCAAACAAATAATGATTAGTAATAAAAACTACCCTTTTGTTAACAAAGAAATAGAGGAATAATAAAACCTGAATGTCGATTTTATTTCAGTTCGAGCAACCATGCTAAGCTATGACATTATTGGAAGATGCAAGCCTAAGCAACATACCACTGATCACAGTCACAACGACAATGCTTTTTTTAATTCAAAATCTCCTTTATTCGTTTATAAGAATTGTTCCATCGTTTACAATCATGGGGATCAGTATTAGCAGTGGTTGCTTTTCTTTTCTTGTAAGAACAAGGGCCGCAGCTTTGGGGCAGGGAAAAGTTTGTGATGACTTGACATTTCTGCAGCTGAGGCCGGACCACTCGTGAAGAAAAGAAACTTGACCAAGGAAATGGATGGTAGCTCGTAGACCGCTCCCCACTATATTAGATGCCGATGCGGAGCATGAATCTGGCTGGTGTGGTGGTGGTGTGGTGTGGTGTACTCTCCCTTTCATATCACGGCTGGCTGGAGCTGCAGCTGGACTCGTCCTGCATGCAAGCCACTATGCCGCAGCGTGGCATCGGGCACAGATCTGGCGAGACCACCATTGCAATGCCATGTGCCGTGTTGCATGCATGATAATTTGAATCGGAATGGCTAGGTGCATGCCCGTCACATCCGAGTGAATACCATAAAACTACCATTTTTCGCGTTAGGGTTTTAAAAAAGTATCAGATTTTAGTTTGTCGCCGATACCTTACAGAATCGGCATCATTTGTTTCACAAAACCAAAATCACCGAGTGTTTTACAATTGATCGTGATTATGACATGTCAGACCCGTTCTTAAACAAACTGTTTGTTTGACTATTTAGTTTAACCATTAACTTACATGTGGGGCCACATGTAAGTTGCCTCTTCTTCTCTTCTCCAGTGCTGACCATCTTCTTCCATCCCCTCGCATGCCCAACCTGCTAGCGACGACCCTTCCCTCCCCTCGTGCGCCCACCCCTTGGAGAGGCGATGACGCCTTCCTGGCACTCATGTGCCCACCCTGTCGGGGATGCCTGTGCCGAGGTAGGTGCTCTCTTGTGGCAGGGGCAACCTCATCCCACTAACAGCAACCACGGCTGGGCAACGAAAGAGCCGTCTCAAGGAGATTGTCGTCATGAAGGAGCGTGATAGTGTCATACACTGGAGGTGGCTCACTAAGGGGAGCGTGACAGAAGGCCTAGCAGAAGGGTCTACGGGGCCTAGCAATATAAGGGAGCCCGAAGGGAAGGATAATCACCTAGGGATCATCTTTCCACCAGGGGCAGCGGTGACCTGGATCACATCTCTCTCTATAAAACGCTAACCTCCATCTTGTATATAAGGAGAGGCTAGTGGGCTCTCCTTCCCATATATTCTGAGATAAGGGAAAAAGCTGGATCTACTTCAACCCACCAGCCTTCCCAATCACATACCATCAACATGATCTTCCCAATGGCAGAGACACGCCGAAAACAAAAGCTCACCCAGCGTGGGATCTATGCAATGGAGTCTGCCCCAAGCGAGCTCCTCGCATGCTCTAATTCTACGATCAACTTTAGCCAAGACAAACACCGAAGCCATATCCCACATCCTGGCAAGTTCTCCTTGGTGGTATATCTAGTCATTAGTGTTGTCGCCTTTCACACTTCTTTATGGACGGAGGCAGTAACCTCAACATCATCTTCCCTGACACCCTAGAAAGATAGGGATCTCCACATCTGGCCACCAGCCCTCAGATACCGATTTTCACGGTTTCGCTCCACGACGCCCACGTCCAATTCCTACGGCAGATTGATCTCGAGGTTATCTTCAACGATGAGGAGAATTTTTGAGCCGAGCCAATCCAGTTCGAGGTCGCTCCGTTCTGCAGCGGCTACAACACAATCTTCGGCAGGTCAGCATATAATCGGTTCATGGAAGTACCATCATATGCATATCTATAGCTGAAGATGCCATGTCCAAAGGGAACGGTCACAACCTATGTCAGCCTGAAGAGGGCACTTGTGGCTGAGGTCGCCAACATAGAACTCGCAGAGGCCGCATTAGCCTCTGCAGAGCTTGAGTGGATCCAGCGATGTGCAGACACCTCAATAACAAAGTTCCCAATGAAACAAAGGCTAGGTCCAGTTTTTCAACCTCCAAAGGGCACCAAAAATTTTCAGGTGCACCCGGAGGACCCGAAGAAAATGTGACAATTGGAGGAGACCCATTGGAGGAACATGAGGACAACCTCCTCACATTCGTTCAGGCTAACTGGAACATATTCGCCTGGAAGCCCGTACACATGCCAGAAGTACCAGCAAACAAAGCGCAACACAACCTCAATGTCTGCAAGGATGCAAGGCCGATCATGCAAGCTCTTCGACATTTTTTCACGTAGATAAGGCAGGCGATTGGAGAGGAGATCGTCCGGCTCCTATTTGCCGCGTTCATTAGGGAGGTGGCACACCATGAATGGCTGGTCTACCCAGTCATGGTGCACAAGATGAACATGTTTGGGAGAATGTGTGTAGACTACATGATGAACCGATACGTGGCATGCCCCAAGGATCTGTTCCCTCTCCCACGCATAGATCAAATCATTGATTCAACGACGGGATGAGAAAGACTATTCTCCTTGGACGCCGGTTCAGGATACCATCAAATACGTATGAAGGAGTCTGATCAGGAGAAAACAACTTTCATCACATCCTATGTCCCCTTCTGCTTCATCATAATACCCTTCGGGTTCAAGAATGCTAGAGCAACATATCAGCGAACCATGCATAAGTCCTTCCATGGTTGCTGGTGTCAAAACCGGTAGACCTCGGGTAGGGGGGCGAGCTATGATATCAGATCGATGGGTAACAAGAGACAAGGGACACAATGCTTTTACCTAGGTTTCGGCCCTCTTCAAGGAGGTAAAAACCTACGTCCTGCTCTTCCTTATATTATGGGTGTATCAAAGTGCAAAGTTGATCTACTTTGAGATCTTAAGTTGTGGACTAAACCCTAGTGGTAATGGTGGTGATGATGAATGCGTCTCTATAGACTAAACCCTTTGGCTTTTATATGCACCATGGGTATCTAGGGTTACACATGGTCGGTTTCCATCTAGGGGTTACATGCCGAATTCAATTGATATACTTGGAGCACACGGCAAGTCCTCGGTGGAGCAGGTTAGAGGCCTCTGGAGTCCCTCCTCATCAATGGGTTGTCAGTCGGGCCCATGGACTAGACCAACTAGGCCGAGACCCCCTAGTCCATGACACCAGCAGTAGCCCCTGAACTTGTCTTTGAAGCCGAGGATGATAATATTCTTCGGATGATGTCTTCGGCTTAATTTTCTTCGCGAGTTATCTAGCAAGTTCCTCCCAATGCCCCGGCTAAGCATCCGTACAGAGTTTGTAGATCCCTAATCTACCGATAGCACCCTTCTAATAGGGGATAAGGCCAACTGACCATATTACACCAAAATGCATCTTCATTCCGAAGTGCATGGTTTGCTTAGTCTTGGAGACTAGAAGTGCAGGTGTGTTCGCAGTTAATTACTTACAACTTTTCTGAAGCGTCGCCGCCCATGACATCATATACATCAGTTATTGCTTATTCGAGTTGTGGTTCGAGGTAACCCTCTCATTGGCATGTCATATCAAAACAGATATCGTGCCCCACATTATAGGGGATATCATCAATTGATTATTTCGACCCGTGCGACCATGACGACATGATGAAACGATACGTGGCGATCTTTACGATGCAGGAGAAGGGACACTTCGTATTTTTACTGACTTACAAAGAGTAGGGTGACAAATCTTTTCTCCCACGCTCTCCTTCTACTCCAGTGCCCAAATCTTCCAAGCTCCCGCACCCCCCAAATTCCATTTCCAAGCCCAAAGCTTTCTCCAAGCTTCCTCACCTCATGTCAATGGCCGATACGGATCTGAAGGGGAGGTGGGTGGCCTCCAAGGTCATCGACGCCACCAGATGAGCTCAGGGCAGCGGGATACCCTGGAATTGAATGCTTGCAGATTCCAGCTTAGTCCAATGCACGTGCACTATTATTATTATCCACACCGTTCGGTTGTGCAAGTGAAAGGCAATAATGATGATATATGATGAACTGACTGAGATGAGAAAAGCTGGTATGAACTCGAACTCTCTTGTTTTTGTAAATATGATTAGTCCATCATTCCTGATTCAGCCTATTATGAATGAAACATGTTTGCAATGACAATTAGAGATTATAGTTGCTCATGCCATGCTTAATTTGCTAGGAGTTTATAATGGTTTACCTTGCGTGCCAACATGCTATTAAAATGGTTGTGATGTGGTATGATAGGGTGGTATACTACTTTGAACGATTCGAGTGGCTTAACTTGGCACATGTTCATGCATGTACTTGAAACAAAATCAACATAGCCTCCACGATATTTATGCTCATGGTGAATTATATCCTACTCATGCTTGCACTTAGTGTTGATTAATTTTAATGCATGTTCATGACTATTGTCGCCCTCTAGCTAGTCACTTCCCAGTTTCTTTCTAGACTTCACTTGTACTAAGCGGGAATACTGCTTATGCATCCAACTCCATAAACCCCAAAAAGTATTCCATATGAGTCCACCATTCCTTTATGTCAAGTCATCATCCTCTTATTAAA